ATATTATAATAATTTTATTTTTTTTTAATTTATTAAAATATAAAAGTTTCAGTAAATTAATTCAATTTAGCACTGGCAGACAGTTTGCAATGCTAACACTGTATTTTTTCGTGTCCAATTTTACCTAGTCGAGACATTAATTTTGTCAATAAAATTCAATTCAATGTCAATTGAATTCAAATATTAAACTGAAAAGTGTTGATATAACCAAAAGATTCATTTATCGCCCCATCAAACGATATAATGAAAATTCAAACGTATGGATGGACAGAAAAAGAAGTGGTCACCCTCGCACTATTAAGACTCCAGCAGTGATAAAAGCTGTGAAGGCGGATTCAAAGAATCCCATACGTAAGCAGAAACTGTTGGCACATCAGATGCGTTTTTTTCTTATGCGAGACGGTGGCAAATGTACTGGCGGTTCACCTGATGTTAAGTGATAAACACCGCCCACAGATTCTTGCAACACCCGTCCCTCACTTCTGTGAGGTCATTGTACTTACCTGGATAGTAGTGTAAGCGATAAGGGTCTTTCAGTGGCGGCTCCGCCAACTAGTGAATTGGAAGCCCCAACTTCAGCGCTCGCCGATCGCCCTTATTTTTAAACGGTTTTATTTAGCTGGACCCGTACAGAATTTATTTGTTTATTTATTTGGGTCAGAATTAGAAATTGAAATTTAAGCACCTTCCCGTTGTCAGATTGATCTGAAATTTGGTACACACATTTAATTTAGATGACAATACAATATTGTAGTTTTCAGTGCACATAAAATAAAACTGTTTAACTTAAAAGTTTTTAAACGGTTTTATATAATATCACAGTTCCGAACCCAAACTTGAACATGATGAAAATGGATGTGATAAACTTAGAAAATAAAATATATAACACTAGATGTCAACGTTAATGTGAATTTTTTTAGAAAAATAACTAACATTATTTTCACCATCACTTTACTCAATAATCATACCTTGTGGCGTCTTCATCGAAATATTTCCCTTTAAACTCGTTATTTAATTTAAACGTGTGGTAAATAATTATAAATAAATATTTGAACTTACAATCTTTATTGATATAATATTTACAAGATTAAATCTATCTAAAATTAAATATTATCGAATAAATTAAATAATTCATTAAAAAAAGTATACTTATATATATTTTATGGGTACGCGGTTGGCTTGCATTTTTCAAGTTGCAGGAGTCCTACTGTTGGTTGTGTCCTTCGCCATAATCTTCAAGACTGAATTAACAAAAGTTCTAGCATTAATACTGTAAAATCACCCGTATATAAAACCGAATCCAAAATTTTGAATCGTGAGATTCCAAATCTAGCCGTCACTGGTGCTAATCTTAGACTAGTCGTGTTATGTATTACCATTTCAACGAGAAATTAAATAAAACGACTGAAAAATACAAAGTCGAAATTTACGGAGACCCCAACAAAACAAACATTTTTACGAGCATTACGGATTAACAAAGGACAAGCCGGATCCCGCGGTACAATAATTTTCTCGTTGTATTTTTCTGTGAACCCATTAAAACCTGAAATAAAGTTTGTTTATCGAGTTACGAGTAACAATATTCAATTTTATTGCCATCATCACCCTATTGGCTGGACCTTTTGCTTTTAAATTAAGGTCTTTTTGCCACTTAAAATTACCTTTGTCTAATTCAGTAGTTGCAGAACAAAATTATGACCTTAACAATGGTACAACCTTTAAGTAATAAAACGAGTAAAAAAAAGTATAACCTTCATTGATCCTTCAGATTTACGTAGTTTTAATTTTATATTCAAAGGTTGAGGTTTAAAATAGCAATGAGACCTTAGAGACAGTTTCACCGGTCCCTTCTTAAGAGACTATTAGGAAAAGTGAAAATTAATTAAAATTAAAAAGAGCTTTTTTTATAGATATCTGTGTAAAAAATAAAAAAATTTGCCTGAATTTTTCAACAAACTTCCTTTTTTGGATTAAATTTCACAAAACAACAATGCGAGATTCGCATACTTAACTCTTTTTAATTACACATGTCTCAAACTAGCTAAGAGTAACAGACGCGAGGAGCATGCAAATTGCATACAACATGCATAATAAAGTGAACAGGCCTTTGACAGAAATCGTATTAAAACTTACGGAATTGCAAATGTCTCTCGGGCATTAATACATTTAAATAATTTACATCAATTTTGATTATGCGGTGTAAATTTAACAATACACTTACTAAAGTTTAAGATAACAAAGAGATTTATTCTTCGGTATAGATTTTGGAGCATTCTTGAAACAATTTCGGTAAATATTTCTTTATAAACTCATTTATCATAAACTTTAAAGCATCACTTCCATCTAAATGTATTCACGCGATTATTATTTCCGATAGTTTTTTAAAACTTTTTTGAGTCCCGTATAGTTTTTGACAGATTTTATACACACACAATTTTATAGACACTACGATCCGACTGCAAATTACGACTTATGATTTATGGTTTTTGATCTTACCTTAAGTGAACTTCAACCATAATTATACTAGTTGCTGCATCCGTAGAGATTTAATAAACCATGTAGTCCGTTCTCTGTTGTACTGCATCATCACACGAATTTTAGAATATTTTATAAAAATAAATAAAAAAGAAATGAAAAAACAGGATATCCGTTGACTAACATAGACAATGTTGGCTCCCATGACTGGCCGAATGCTCATTCGTTTTAGAGCACACATACATACAGCAATACCTACTTCAGTCTGCAATTATTTGGGGAATTTTGTTCAGGGAAGGGTGGGTTCTTAAATCTCTACGGATGCAGCAACTAGTATAATTATGGTTGAAGTTCACTTAAAGTAAGTTCAATTAATCATAAATTATACTTCGTTGCTGCATCCTAGGAGATTTAATAAACCATGTAGATGTTTAGCGCTCAATTGCAGAATGATACAAACAACGGATCATGAAAATAATCCAGTATATTACAATTATTCTCTATAGGACATATACCAGAAAATCACCTTATTCATTATGTATAACCATATCTCTATACTATGATCTACATGTCTACATCGAAATCGTCAGCGAAAGTTTTATCTCTTTGAATGTCTGGTAAACGTAAGTTACAGAAATTTTGCAAGGCAGAAGAAGGAGGAGCCGGTCCATCCGGCCGCGCGTTTTATCACGTTTAGAGACACAACAGCGCGATTCGCTGCCGATGTGGACGCTTGTCGCGTGATATGTGCTAAATGTATGTTTATATCAACACCCATATTCTTAAGGTATACTTGTTTAACCCAATGGCTTTTCGTTTGGGAACATGCTATTGGGATGGGTTTTTTAACAGTTATAAAAAAAAATCTATCCAAGATTCTTTTATCGCAAGGCTCTTGCCTTATTTATGTAAGCCGATAGAGCTTTTGCTGGGCAACTGTCCGGCTGTTCTTCCCTACATAATATAAAACAAAGTCGCTATCCTGAATATAAAATTGACAAATGCAAACCAAAATTTGTATGCCGTGTTATATATACTGTTGAATATTGGATAGTGATTGGATCAATAGTAATATCAACAAAATAAATAGTAATATCAACGGTCTCATTAGCAAATTATTGTAGAATGAACACTTCTCGGATAACGTTATGCACTCTGCTGCCCCGTTCTGGAAAGAGAGAATCACATGTTTTTGTTTGGCCCAAAGTAAAATACTTTGGATGTAGTAAGAAACATGTATAGCAGGAATCAAGGCTGACTAGGCCATTAAGGTTACTACCGTTATACCGGTCGCCTCTTAGTTAATAATTTTTCCTAAGTATTTTATATGATTGTAAAAGGAGGAAAAACATAGAATATAATAATATATTAATTAAATTTTCCCATCTCAGAGTAAATGCAGTAAATGTATATTCAAGGCATTTGGATCTCGTTTTCATGATACAAAATTTGATCACTTTTTATTCATTCGGGACGCAAAGAGATACTTATTTTTGGTTGACTGGTAGAGAACACCTAATGGTGTTAAGTCCGGAATTGTAAGTTTTATTTGCAAAAAATTTTTAAAAAATGTTTAAATAAATAAATAAAATACTTCCTATAGGATTTGTGCACGAGTATAAACATATCGACCATTTTTATGTACTATTTTGTAGTATAAACTTATTCAGTGCTTTCAAATGAAGTATTAATCTATATGGACAGTTACTTTTCGAAATTAGGAAAAAAAAATTAGGTAAAATAAATTGAACCGCAATATGAGTACATTACTATAATTGATCCTAACTGTTTAAGTTTTTCGATCGAATTTGACATTTCCGTCTTAGAGCACGGTTATAATGTGATTACAAAAATTGAATTGGTGTTCCAGTGAACATTACTTTATAACCATTCACTATAATCGAATATTTGGGAATCAGTAGTTATAATATTTAGCCAATTGTGTACATAGTAATGATACTATGTACACAATTGGTTACTACCCGTCACTTTACATACTTGAGAACATCATGTATGTATGTACATATCCACCTATTTACGAATAAAAATTCCACATGATGTCGGGGCTGTGGTGACACTCTTGAAGTACCGAGGTTTAGACTGGCTAAAACCAGAAAGTCATTTCTTGGTAGATGCATCAACTTTTATAATAAAATAGGTGACATCCAAAAACAACCAAGTATAAACAATTTCAAACAATTTGCAAAAGCCAACCTAATGGCAAGGGCCTACTATAATGTCCTAGAATACATTGAGGACAAGGATGTGTGGAAAAGACTCCTGCTCTGCACTTTCAAGACCTCTGGGTGCTGCTGATTTAATACCCAAATAAGTTTGTATAATTGCATCATAAAAGAAAAAAAAAATAGCAAGCAGAACAAGACCGCAGAATTTCTTGCCGGTTTTTCTCTGTATAGGTCTAGTTTAGTGAACCGGTGGTAGATTTTTTGTTGACGTTCAATAAGAGCTTAAGTCAAGCTTATATTGAATAAAGATACTTTGATTTTGACTTTGATATACGATCAGCGTGTGGTGCCTCTAACGTCGCTTGCGCCGATGCTACGGCCGGCCCGGCTGGCGGCTGGCGACGGGGCGCATTCGGCGCAGCCGGCGGCAGTGGCGTATAGTAGCGAGACTGCGCAGGGGGTGATGCACCGCACCCCCTGCTCGCTCGGCTGAAGTATCACCAAAGATAAATTTTTCACGTTTCACGCCTTGGATTATATTAATATACTTTTATTCAACATTGGAATAATTAGCCGTCTACGATTCATTGTCTCTTCATAGAGTAGGATCTGATTTATCCCGGATATTTGTTTGATAATATCTATTTGACTGAGGTCCTTGGCTACTAGCTCTGCGATATCGGTACCTAGTCGGTTTTTGCATCTTTTATAAACGCCTTCGATCAATATTTTTCCCCAACGTTCAGAGATTTTTTGGCCTCTACAAGTACTACCTAGATGTCCAAAGGGAAAGCATTTTTCTCACCTTCAGTAGGGATAGTAGGCGCTTGCTGTTCGCCAACCTCTTCAAATGCATATTCCGGCCCCGACGACACGCAAGGAGGCGTAGTTGTAGGCACTTAAACAACTGATTCTATCTGTTCAGTGTTCAGGAACATCCTCGTCGCTGGTGCCCACATTACTGCATCGCACGTCGTATGCTTTAAATTTTCCATCCTCGTAGGGGTCGTTAGCCAAATTTAGCCAGCTTTACATTTACATCTTGGATGACATCACGTGCCAGCACTTAAGAATGTAAGATAGTATTTCCGAATGACATCGCGTGCCACTACTTAGGAAATCGTTACTTAGCAATCCTTACTAATATTATAAACGCGAAATTTTGTATGTATGTATGGATGTTTGTTACTCTTTCATATAATAATACTACTGAATGGATTTTAATGAAACTTTACAATAATATAGCTTTTACAGCGGAACATATTTTATGTATATCTGTCTTTCTGTCTGAATCTTACGCCTTCAGCCTATTCTACGCAGACGGAGTCGCGGACAACAGCTAGTAATTTATAAAGTTAATTTGCTTTCTGAGTGACATCGCTTGCCATCAGATGAAGAAAGTAAAATCAAACAAACAATCGATGATGTTTAATAATAAACATAACGCATGTCCATGCTGCGCGACGTTTCCAAATTGTTCCGCTTAACACTATATGACATATGTATGTCAAAATCTGTTGAAACCAAATTTAATCAGATTCCATATTTACATCTTGGGTGACATCACGTGCCAGCACTTAAGAATGTAAGGTAGAATTTCCGAATGACATCGAGTGCCACTACTTAGGAATTTGCTACTCGGCAATATAATATTTATTAAGTTAATTTTGCTTTCAGAGTGACATTGCGTGTCATCACATTAAGAAAGTAAAATCAAACAAACAATGATGTTTAATATTATAGATGGCGCATGTCCATACTGCGCGGCGATTAAAAAATTGTTCTGCTTAACATTAAATGACATATAAACAGATGATATGGAACGTAAATTACGGAAAAATAAAGAAGTCTATAGAATCACAATCCAATTACACCAATTGGTGTAATTTGAGTGCTTCGATTTCGGTGCGCTACTGTCATATCTAACTCCTATTTGTAAATAATATCATTGCAAACAACGATATCTCCGGGTGACATCGCGTGCCACCACATGTAATAAATATATATTGAGTGGAATCGTCTTTTCTTAAAATTTATCACGTTAAACGTTAAAACAATATAATCTCGGTGGCGCGGTGTACTTACCCTCATTTACAAATTTATGTTGCGGTCGTTGACGAGACATTAACTCGTTTTCTAAACGCCTTATTTTGTTTTTAATCTCGTCGTCACTCTTCCATTTGTTCTTTTCCCCATTCTTCACTTTAAATTCACCTAAAACTAAATTATGGAAAAAAAATGTAAACGGCGCGCGCGCGGATGATGCAACACACGGAAAACGAATGAGCATTCGGCCAGTCATGGGAGCCAACATTGTCTATGTTAGTCAACGGATATCCTGTTTTTTCATTTCTTTTTTATTTATTTTTATAAAATATTCTAAAATTCGTGTGATGATGCAGTACAACAGAGAACGGACTACATGGTTTATTAAATCTCCTAGGATGCAGCAACGAAGTATAATTATAACTTCCATCCAATATACGAGTGTACCTTAAATATTCATATATTTCTCCTGTTCTTCAAAATGATAAAATGAAAAATATCCTGGCAATAAAATATAATACTGGCTGTGTTGACGTGAGTATAAGTATTCCAAAGGCTGGCAATGATTTTTTACTCCGTTGATGGTGCGAGATCATTGTGACCATCAGGTGATCCGATTGTTCGTTTGTCAACTTTTCCCTAAATAAAATAATCCATATAGCTACCCAAGAGAAAAGACTTGCTTTCAAGGCTAACCGAAGCTGCCTGCAACGTTTCTTTTTCTTCTTTAATAATAGAAATCGCAAGGCTAAGGTGTTTCAAGAAATTGTATTTTTTTAAATCATTCCCGGCAGTTTGTGCGTTGCCTCCTGAAAGCAGCACAAACCATAAATCCAGCAAAGTAGTGTAGAAATAGACTTAAGTTATTACTTTATTATTTTATTGGGCAATAACAACACGCACTAAACTTTAATTATTCAAACATGAATATGAATAAAAATCACGTACTTCCGTCATCACGATTAAATGGTTAGATAAACAGGCCATTAATATTCAGGGAACGATTTCACGAGAGTGAAACATTCGAGGCGGCCGTTAAGAGTAACGTCTCCGGATTTAAAAGAGATCTCAGATCAACGTTCCGCGGGGAAATGTAAATGCACTTAATGCATACGTAATCAAATTAAGCTTTTCAGTGGTTAACTTGATTCAGCTGAACACGTAGAATGTCATTTAATTCAAAATCAAAGTTAATTTTCTTCTTACGTGCAAAATAAAGCTACGAAATCCTTATACAAAATTATTAGTAGCCAGATAACTTAAAAGACAATAAGTAATATGTAAGAGCACAATCAGATTAAGTAATATGGCTACTCACTTTCTGCATTGTTCTTTTTCAGTCAACTTTCCTTTGACAATTTTTGTTGAGATTAAAATATCTTTTGATAAGAAGATTTTGTATCATTAAATTACTTTATTTAATTCAATAGACCTTAAAAGCAACAATTTTTTTTCCAAAAAGACCCGGCGTGTTTTTTTATTAAAATTCTACGGATACAATTTATAATGCTATTTTACCGAATAAAGTAAAATGAGCATATAGATTATAATCAATTGATTATATATGATGTATAATTTATTAATCGAATTGCCGCATACCGACAATCACAACATAGTATAAAACAAAGTCGTCCCGCTGTCTGTCTGTCCCTATATGCTTCTAGTGATCTTTAAGACTACGCAACGGATTTTGTTGCGGTTTCCTTTAGTAGATAGAGTGATTCAAGAGGATGGTTTATATGTATAATTCGTGCAAAATATAGTAGAGAAACACTGACGATAATTTTAGAGGTTTGTAATGCGATGTCGAAAACAAACATTCACCATCGCATCCGTGCAAAGCCGGGGCGGGCCGCTAGTTAATACATATTTTTACATTACTCAAAACTCGGGCAACCTAATCCCAGTGCCAGCCCCTTTTTAGCAGCCATTTAAGTGCTGATTTATCACGTGTTCAACGGTGATATTAAACCTCATGAGGAAACCTGAATATTCTCGAAATAATAATGAAACCAAATATCTGGAATATATAAGAAGTCCATAATCTGCTGTAGGGTTGCGTGGTGGGCCATGCCCCAAGGTACAGAGGAGGCTCTTGCCCAACAGTGGGACGTATATAGGCTGTTACTTCACTTTTCTTATTTAAGCTTATAATATCGTTGACATTTAAAGGGGATAGGGGAGGTTACAGGAATTCTTTTAGTTACTTGGCCCGCAGAGTAGTGATTTACTGAAATAACTAAAATTAATACAATATAAATACTCCTTTTTAAACAATATAGCTACTTCATTCGTTACCTATTTAAATGTGTTACCAAAATTATCACTAAATTTTAAATATTATTTACTATAGTTCAACGTACTGCTTTGCTAATTTTTATAGGAAATATATATATTGTTTTGGTTTGGAAATAAGATTTCACCGTATTTTTAGGTAATAGTATACTTTACTATTACCTAACGTTTTCATTTGTTTATCGTAAATATGCTATGTAAGAGCGGCGGAGCGGCCTAATACAAGCAAACTTTTGCTTTAAACGTGGCTCCAATTATTTATAACTGTCTTTGAAATGAGTACATGAAATAAATAAATATTTGTACTTGTATTTTAGAGTTAAAAAAAATAATAAAGAAGAACTGAAGACCCGAAAAACACTAAAAACTATTTCTGCAAACTTAGTGAGCAACTGTCCTAAACATCCACAAACTTAAATGTGCACAACGGAAACGGTCGATAAATATAGCAAACCACTCCGCTAAACGTATTTATTTCTACGTACAACGAAAATAGCCTCACCAAACTATAACTTTGTCCCCCAAGAAAAAGGGCAATCCTTTCTCAGAAATTTATGTGTTAAGCACAGCTGTAACTTTTAAAAGTCGTGCCTTCGGCCACTATACTTCGATGAGTCTATGTGCTGATGTATTGTCCAACTTAAATGATAAATTCACCTTTTATATCATAAGTTACTTTATATAAAACGTGTTTCATGAAATAAAAACAGGTCATGAAAACAACATTATCTATTTTTCTTAACTGTCGCATACCGTAGTTTTACTTTTTATTTATTATTCTCATCTTTGATTTTAATGCCCATTTTTATAATATATTTTGCGAACGTATGCAATATAAAACATAAAAAACTTAAAACAATTCTATGAATCTTACCGTTCTAAAATTTTATAAAATATTCTTCATTATATAATTAAGGAGAATCTTAGTTTAATTAAAATGCGGGATTTTGTCAGCAGTCGTAGTAAACAATCAATTCTTTTAGAATTAAGCATGTTATGTAAGTTTATAACATTACATAATTTGAGTATTCTGCGACTTGTAGCAAATATTTTTTCAATAATTTAAATTTACAATAAAATCAAGATAGGTATAAAACAAAATATTTTATTATTTTATGTTAGAAGACACGGTCAAGGTTCACACGACGTTAATTGATTATTTGTTTAACGTTGTACCGACTGCATTTTTTTTTCAAAAGCGACAGACAGTGGATCTATTGTTATATTGTGACAGCAAAACTACGTTTTTAAATCTTACTGATACAGCGATGAGATATTGAAAAAAAAAAAGGATAATTACGCCACCGCGCAGCGAATCTCCAGCCTCAGGCCGCAAATTCGATGTCCGATTCACTAAACCATTGGGTCCTTCACCCTATAAACTGTATGTAATGTGTAAAATATAGCAATTACATTATTTGTGGACCCAAGCTGAAGGCGGTAATGCTTTCTTTACTCCGCAAAGTTCCTTTGAAGTTTTAATTACTAGGTTCACCGGAAGCACCGAGTATATTT